CGACCACCTGATGGAAAGGTATGATCCCCTTGGTGACGAGCTGAACCTCGGGATTCATAATTTGAAGCTGGTCCAAAGCGTTGTTGAACCCTACCTCGAGAGTCCCCCAAGCAGTCCTGCTCTAGCTCCCGGTCCGGGCGACCAGGTTACAGTGAGTCGCGAGGGCTTTCTCCTCGTCATTTCATCCTTGGTGGGGTTAGCAGCAGCCTCTAATTCAGTGACTCTGGCTCGAAGTTGGTTCCTCTCTCCCTCGACCTTCTCCACTGTTTCCTGCATCTCGGCCATGTCTTGGAGAAGATCAACCTGGACCTCATACTTCGATTGGTAGTCGAGAAGTTCATTCTCCGCTTTGTTCTTCTCCGTCCAAAGAAGCGTATTCTCATCTCATAGCATCTTCATCTCAGAGGTGAGGTTGGTCTCATCATTGAGGACCAAGACCGTCTCGAAAACCCTCATCATGGAGGCCATATCCTCACACCAAGACTTTCTTTTGGTTGCTTTGTCACACCCATGATCACCTTGGAATCTGCCGTAGGCACGACCAGGGAGTTAACCCTGCCGAAAAAGACCCTGATGGAGATGGCATGGGGGCAACGTGAACTTTTCCCCGACAACGCCCTCCAGAAGGTTCACGGGCTCAGACTCATCGGTGCGCTGCCTCTTGTGAAGATTCTCTTACGAAGGGGGATACTGGATGCACTACAAAGACAAGGAGGAGCCCCCAGGATGCTGATCAGGCTTTGACATCTGCTGGACCTGGGCGACTCGACCTTTGGTAGCTTTTTTCGCACCTTTGGCGTTAATCAACCCACTACCTAAGAGCCTTAACGCTTCCCCGTCAAACCCACACTCGAGGAGGGCCTTGGTGTTAATCAACCGAGACTCGAGGCGAACCTCCCCGCGCTCGTCACTTATAAAACTCCCGTCCTTGTTGACACACTTGGAAGGAGTAAAATTGTCGATGAATGTGACTATCTTCTCATAAGCGAGCTGATCCTTGGCATCCAGGTCGTCGGGCTTGATGATGTAATTGTTCGTCCTCTTGTTGAAGTGGAACCTGTGCCACTCAAGAGGGAACTTCACTTCCAAAACCTCCACTTGTTCCCCGTTCTCGTGCTTAGTCACACGGTCGAACAGGGAATCAATGGCCAAATGCGATACGGGCTTTACGATGAAATATATGTCCTTGAAAGCATGGACAGAATCCAGGTACGCCCTGAACAACTTCCTTGGATGCTTCAGAGATACCCAACTGTGTCGGTCTTGTAAGGATTATCGCTGAAGGTGAAACATGCGGAAGAACAGGGGGAGCGTAGCATCGACACAAAAATGTTGACACACGAGCTCAAATTCCCGCATGAACACGATCACGTTGGGGAGAAGTTATGAGGGCGCCAAAACCAGCCACTAGAACACCCCCTTTTAGAAGTCACCGAAAGGCATACAAAGCCTTGCTTCCTAAAACACAAACTCGTACATCAGAAACTGTGTCCCTTTGAACGATGAGCATATCTGGTACGTCTCTCTAGGTTTGTAGACCATCCAGTTCGCGGAGGCCCCTTCGGCAAGATCCTCGATGATCGTAAAGGCATCCGAGTCGTCGAGGGCAAAGTGCAAAGCGATGTTGCGAGGCTCCTGCTCGACCCAATCCAAGGGTGTGTCGGCTTCCACGGCCTCGACTTCCTCATCAACCGAATCAAGCTCGGCTTCTACGTCGACCATGAGACATCCTCGGGATTTGCGGCCATTTTATCTGAAAAGCAAAGGAAAACAATGAATTCGACATCAAGATCAAATCCACCCTTCCACCGCAAATCAAGTGAAAGGGCAAAGAGAGAGGGCGAGGAAACGCTCGAGAAACCTCCTCGACCAAAGCCCTCGCTAACAAGCGCATCCTTGTGAGGGGACTTTCCTAGACGCAGAACACGAAACCTCCCTCCGCGGGAGAAAGGTTCCTCTGCGCTTAAGTTCACACCAGAGTCAAACATGGAAAGTCTCATCGACTAAAGACTTCCTCGTGGTACCCACGCGTCCGTGGGGAGAAAGTTTCCCTGACGTCGAACCCAGCGAGGACGTTAAATCCTCATGAGGTCCCCAATACCTTCATTGCGAACTTCATGCATTTTCCCATAATCTTCATCGGAAACTTCACTTTTCCGTCGGAAACTTCATGAGGTCGCCGGGAACTTCATGATCCTTCTTAGAATTCGTCGGAAACTTCATGAACGTCCCAGAAAATTCATTGGAGACTCAAGAAACCCCTCAGAAAATGCATAACACACCAGAAAAAGCATAAATCCTGGAGAAGGACAAAAGCCTTACTTATACAAAGAATCTGGAGTAGGACAGCAAAGCAAAGAACTAACGGCGGCGGCGAACAAGCGTTAGTAGAGCAGAAAGGCTTGAGACTGAGAAATTATTTAGCTAGAATGGGGGAAGCGTGCAAATAAATCGGTCATCCCCTCTATTTATAAGCCCTAAAGCATGAAGCGAGGCGTTTTATAGGCACTCAAGCACCCCTGCTCGTAGCCGTCATAAGCAATTATTGCTCCTGACACGTGGCTTAAGGAGACATCATGCGTATCCTTTCAAAACCCAGTGCACTGCTCGAGGGAATGGCATGTCCACCCCTTTCGCTTACGTCGAGTACAATGCCCGATCCTTGCGCTGCCGGGAACACTTCCTCGGGAGAAGTTGGAAAAAAGCCACGATTATGTATCGTGAGCAGGCCTCCACGCGAGCAGATCAAACCCGTCGTCGACCCCGCTGTCGCGCATGCAACTAGTGACGCCTACGTCTGGCCACACGCATCACCCCGCGAACTCAGTTCCTCTAGCACATGCAACACTCCTCTGGGAAAGTCCTCGACATCAGGATTGACTTAAGTCATTACTCCTCCGCTTCGGAGCAACGACTTGGGGGGCTCTTGTTCTGGACTGGGCCAGAGGCTAGCCCACCGTCGGGCACGACCCAACCCAACTCCTCGTTGGGGAGGGCCTAGTACGGCCCAATCCCTCAGCCCACACGGGGAACGCTCATGCGTCTTCCCCACGATCTCCACGTGTGGACACGTCATCATGCAACTATCCGCGTCCGAAAGAACAGGTCATCCACCTTCCGAAGACCACGGGGCAGTTGACCCAGGACGAATACCACATGTTGGTCTTCCCTATGCCACGTAAATCCTGGAAGTTATTCGTATTGGGCCTGAAGATTCAACCAAGTACAGATAATTGTTGGCCCAACGTTGGAGGCACATTATAAATACTCTCTTGCATAAGAGAGGTAGGTATTCTAAACTCATTTGCGTCTGTACTTGTCCACTCTCTCCCTTTTCTCACTTTGGCATCAAAGTGTCTTGTAGGTACACCCCCTCCTCGTCTCCACCACCGGCGAACTAAGAGCTCACGACGCGTTGCTGACTGTTGATCTCTTTCTGGTCCGATAAAATCAAAAACAAATTGGCCCATAAACAATTATATGAATAGTGACTGTTAAAATGTTGATTAATATTCTTTATTATTTGGTGAATAACCTTAGATATTATAAATAATTTTTAGTAGTAAAACAAAGTTGATTAATGAAACATAAAATATTGGTTAATGAAGTGACGAATTTGATTAATCACACAGTTTTATATCAATCTTCTTTAATTTAAAAAAAAATGTTTTTAATATTTTTTTAATAAAAAATTATTTTATTTTTATAACAGTGTATTGGTTAACCGTGAATATGGTGTATTGAATGTGTTTGGTGTAAAAATATAATTATTTAAGCTATAATACAGTCCAAATTTGATCCAGGTTCAAATATCATGTCCTCCTATTGCATCATTGAGATTTTCCTCTTATTTGCCCGTTCACTAATCAACACTAATTTGTTAATTACAAATATATTTAAATTGTTGATATATCAAACGTGAATATAAACCTTACATTAAATTAAAAAAATAGATGTTAAATGTTTTACAAATGAGAAGACCTAGTAAATATAATGTCCTAAAATTTTAGATTAAAATATGGTATTTTTCACCTCTGTCATTACTCTTATTCATGGTGGCGTGGTTGCCCAACCCAAATGCCATGCTTCCTTTGTATATAAGACTCATGAGCAAAAGAGTGAGCAAATAAAACTACTATGGCAAGAGTTGAAATTCTAATGGTTTTCACCTTCATTGGAAAAGTGAGCAAATAAAACTATTATAACCAATAACCAGTACCAAAATATTTGGGTACAGCACAAAGGTAAACTTTTGTATTTCTTAATACTCATTTCTTTGTATTAAATACATTTTATGGAAAATAATGAAAAAACATATATTTCTTTTTCATTCAAAACTAAAAGTGAAATAGGTATGAAATTAAAAACAGAAAATCAACATGTAATTGCTTTACCCAAAAACACCTGAATGACAAAGTAGAGCGATTAAGAAATTGAATATGATTTGTATATAATGTAACATGCTAATTACCATTACATGTAAAATAGAAAGCTTACTGACATCTTCCATGGTAAAGTCATTCAAATATTATGTATTGACAACACACATCCACAGTTATTCCTATATTCCCCTATTGAGTTTGATTGTATTCAGCAGCAAGTAATAATTGTTCACTCACCAAGCTGCTTCAAATCTGCACAATAAACAAAGTCATGTATAAAGAATGAGAAAGAAAAAAATGTCAGAGTGCATTAAGTCAGTGTACTACCCTTTTAAACTTTCAATTTTCATTGATGAATACCATCAATGAAAAGTAATATTCAATTCAAGATGGAAAAGATCCGTGACGATTGCTTGTACAAGACTAATTGATGCATCAGATGCTCAACATTGTACATAAACAAGTAATATATATGAATGAATATAGCTTCTAATTGTTCAATTAACCAAAGAATACATATATGAATTGAATATTATAGATAAAATCAACATTCAAAAACTCAAAGTGGCTCATGACTTTTAATACACACACATGACTTGAAAAGAGACTATTCACCATTCAAGGATTCTTAATCTTTATTCTTAACTTCCGAGCAATCTGCGCCGCTTTAGGGTGGCTAGGCCTCTTGTTACTATGGTATTGTTCTACCTCAACCCAATTCATAACTTTAATTATGAGAGACTGAGAAACCTTACGAACATCCCCGTTTGACGCTTCCTTTGTTTTCTTCAAACCCGCTTCCAATGCCTTCTCAATGAAATCCATAAACCAATTTCCAGATTCGGTTTCAATCTGTTTTCCCAACTTGATCGTGTTGCTTAAGCTGCAAGATATTGGTTTCTTATTCTCGTCGTTTTCAACAATAGGTTCCAGGGTAGAACCTTTCTTCTCCAAAATCTCCTTTGGGTTTGAACTCGATGATCTCAAAAGTTTCCCCACTTTTGCTCTATAAGCACATCTTCTTTTTGACGTGTTTGATTCGATAGAGTTTCGTGATTGGTCGACAGAATTTAGCATAACTTCGTGTAAAACCTGCGGTTGTTCTTCTTCGACTTGTTTATCTGTTTTTGAAGCCAATTCTGAAGCAGAAGTAGCTGCTTGCATTGACATCATTGCACTAACGCCTAGTACAATATCATTATGGAATTCCAAAAACCGTTCGAAACATGTAGCAGGTGCATCAGCTCGGGCCGATTTGCATAAATTTGAAAACATCCTGAAAGAAAACACCAAAACTAAAGTTAATTTTACTAGTTTACTCTCTAGTAGCTAAAACAAATATAAAAAGTGCAAATCTAGACCAAAGATAGAATCGTAAAAAGAACACATACTTAAGGGATCGAACTACTGTCTCAGTGGCTGAAGCATCTCTTAATGCTTGAAGGGCAATCTTTTGAGCCACTTCTCTTTGCTGCACAGCTTCCTGTCATGCAACATAAAATATGATTATAGCAGACAGTGATCAAGCTACCCTGGTTCTATACAATGTCACAGGCTACGATTGTAGTTTAAAAGTTTAGGACTTAACAAGTAAGTGCAATCTTTAGCACTAAGAAAATGCACCTTTCCTAAGGAGCTGAGACTTGCTGGTAAATTCATGGGCAGACTGTGATTGTTGGAATCATCGAAAGCTGAATTAGTTGTAGACTGAGATTTCTGTTGAGAGGTGACATTTGAGTCCTCTTTGTGAGCATCTCCTCCTGTAACACCAACAGAATTCGCCACTCTTGTATGTCTCAACCGGGGTGGTGGAGTACCTCCTTTCTTTTCCTGCTATTTTGGAAAATTTATCAAACAAACAAACTCAGAAAAGTGATAAACAATAAAAAGTCAAATATATAATTAAAAGACGTCATACTACAATCCTAGATACCACGCAACGTCAGTTATATTAGTTTAGTCTCACAAACATAACAAATCACAATTGTAGTCAAAATCAAATACAGTTGATACAACCTCAAATACACTCATTTTGAAGCCATAATAACATCAACAATCATAAACCTGCCACTCAAATTGCAGTAAATTACTCAAACACCAACAAATGAGTCACTAGACAACTGAACACAATACTCCCACATGTTGACACCAGTAATGAGATAATGAACTAGTTCAATGAAACTAATGTGTCAAGTATAAGACACAACACATGCCAGGCACCATACACACCTAGTATCAAAAATATCCATGCTACAAAGCTAATGAACTGCTCGTGTGAAACTAATGTGTCGAGTATCACACACCAACACGTGTCGGACACCATACACACCTACTATCAGAAATGTCTATGCTACAAAGCTAATTATCATCCACAAAGAATCAAAGAAGAAGGAACAATGTACCTACATTTGACTTGAAGGGGCTAGCAGAAGGCATCCTATTCTCTCTTTCCGAAACGCTTCTACTTCGTGTAATCTTTGAACTCGAAGAACCAACAACACAGCTTTTTCTAAGCAGCGCAGGACTTTCACCTTTTGCATCACTCATTTTCCCAAAAAGCCCACCACCAACAGAACATCTAACCGGAGTTCCATCTTTTCCAACAAAATTCCTCCCTCTAACAGGTGTACACTGATCAAAATCCAAGTTAACCGGTTTAAACACCATAGGAGAAGAAGAAAAAGCACCACCATCATCACCATCAGCATCTTCCTCATTCTTCTTCTTCTTCCTCCCTGTTCCTGTTCCCCAAGAACCTCTAATAGGCTTACATGTTTGAGCTTGAACTTGGGCTTGGGCTTGGGTTTTTTCCCTTAGGCCCAATAGAGGCTCTGGCGTCCCAATGAAAGGATGTCTCCCAGGTAACGGTTTAGCTCCTTTGAGAACCGGAACAGGTGAACCAGGTTCCAATCGATCAACATAGATAAACTGACCTAACTGCATTTTGTTGCTCAGAACAAAATCGTGCTCATCAGAAGGAAGAGTAACGTAAATTGAATGCGAAGAATCGGAAACTTTAATGTAGAAGCCTTGTTTTGGGAAGAGACTTTTCTCATCGAGATCCGCGGGGACGATGTCGGTGACTTGCAAGAGAGAATTTCGATGCTCGCTTGTTGGTTTAACACCTGTGTTAATTCCGTTTAGAAGCTTTAACAGAATTCCAGGTGCTAGTGTTGCCATTGTTGAAGCTGTGAATTTTGATGAATTTGGATAATTGTGTTGCTATTTTTAGGGTTCAAGAATGGAGTTTGAAGAAGAAAGAGTGGTTGGTGAAGAAGAAGAGTGATTTGTTCGTTGTAACGGTAACTAGGAATGATAATGTAATATCTTTTTTTTTTCTTTCAAAATTTGGTTATTTATGTTCCAACGGTCATATTTGGGTTGTAATAATGTAAGTAATGTCATTATAGTAGTAAAAAGTAAAATTAAATATATATTTTTTGTACGGGTTTTAAAGATAAACTTTTAAGTTATTTTTTTTTTATAGAGAATCAAAGAAATTAGGTGTAGCATGCTAGTAATTATTATTCTTTTTTTAGCAAGAAGTTTATTGTTTTATACGGGTTATGTGTTTTTCTTAATATTTAAAAATGGTTTGAAACTTCAACGATAACAACATTTGTCTTTAAAAATAAAAATTCATGATTCTCTTTATTGTAATATTTGATACATTAATTCAACTCACATTTTTGTTTTGTTTTTTCTAAATTAATATTAATAAAGTCATTGTCTCACTCATAAAACAAAGATAAATAAAGATAGTTGTGAGATTTTGCTCAACACCATCATAGTTAGTGTTTTGAGATATTTAGGATTATTATTGGTCTATAATATATTTGTTGGATTAATCTTTAATTAATTAATTATATTAATAAAGTATACTATAGTTAATTATTATTAAAGATTATTATTGATAATTGTTTGGTTGTGTTTTTTGTTTAATTGAGTCGTGATTAATTTAATTATTTAGTTAAATTGCTACTATATTAAATGGTTAGTCAACTGTACGAAATTTAAGTGACAAAGAAAATATTTTCCTCTCATATTTATTTTGAACTCTCAAATTCAAAAAAAAAATTATTATTTAATCAATTATATTCCCTGATTTTAAAAAATTACTTTAAATATATATATCATCAAATACATTGAATATTTGATTATTTAATAAATCTAAAAAGCCAGTTTTAAATAGGACCAGTATTAATATATGTTATGCTTTGACTTCTATATAGTTAGTCTTGAGTCCCAAAGGTAGTTGACATGATATTTAATTACATCCTATATGTTTGATGTAAGAATCGTGAACCTAAAATTCTACATTATTGAGAGAACATGATAACTTGACACAAATTTGAATAACGAGTTTGCACCTTGATACGATTTTTGGATTACGATATTGCAGTGAATGTAAAAACCGGCCCCTCAACTAAACAGAAGTAAAATAGAGTGTACTATTGTTATTCTCTTACTCCCTCCCCTTTGCCCATGCCAAGTTTGTGGGTATTTATCCAATGTGACTATTTGAGAAGTGAAAATTTACCAGTGTTCTTGTATATGTTTGTAAGAAAAACTATCCAGTTTTGGTATTTACTGTACAATTTTTTAAAAAGAGGTGTAATAAAAATAAGTAAAAGTAAAAACAAAGAAAAAAGGGCTGAAACTCAATTGGACCCTTCACATAAATTCATAATTACTGAGATGGATGCAACAAAAAAGAAACATTTTCACATCCTAACTTCTCATTATTTTATTCAAAATACAACTTTTTTCTTCTCTTTTCTATAATTGTCTTCTCTACTAAATAATTTATCATAATCATATATTGGGAATGCAACAAGGAAAAAAAACCTTCTCAAAATAATTTGTGCTGATCAGAATCATGGAGATATAGAAATGTTGGGAGCATGCGCCCAAATTTCAATAGTAAGACAGTTTATTTATTTAATTTTGAAAGACTAAATATAAATGTACAAAAGGAAAATAAATACTGCACCTTCCAAATTTTCAAATAGAATTCGATTCTTATATTAACTATGTCCATTTAATGTCAACTATAATCCACTCAACTAATAAATTGAGGCTTTAAATTCAACTGGACCACTAAAATACATGAAAACACCCAGAGAACTAACTAATCACCAAAATTCAAACAAAATTAAAAAATTAAAAAAAAATTTTAAAAAAACAAGAGGTTCAACAAGTAGTCGACACAACTAATCAATGAAATTCAAACAAAATTATCATAATTTTTCTACAATGTAGTCTTCCTGCTCCAAGGAAAATATCATCTCCATTTCTTTTTCTCTTCATTTCCTCAATTAATATAGTTTTGAAAATATAAACATAATAATATAACATTAAATGGAGTGAAGAAATTGAAATAATTCATTGCAAGTTGTGAAATATAGTGACAAGAAGATCAGTGGTTCGATCATGCAAACCGCGCGTCAGTCCTATATGGTTACCAGATAAGTAGAATTAAAAACATGATGATCAAATCATGAAGTTTGATATGTACCATTCAGAAACAATTATGAGGCCATATAATTTTGGCCCATAGGAAAAATAACTAACAGGAGATTATATAAGACATGATAAAAATAATTAACTGAAGATTCATGCAAAATAAAATCACTTGACAAACTGGTACACATTTTACATGAAAATTTTCTCAGGGGTTAACCATCAAGAAAAAAACCGAAAGTTCAAATGGAAAAACACCTTGTAATAACCCGAGAGTCTCAAGGAAATAAAGAAAAATTAATCAAATTACATTATTAATGGCAGCACCAACTAGAAACAAGTGTTGGAAGAAAACCTGCACCTATCAGTATCTGGATGGCTTAAAAGCAAAGATATCCTGACTGTGTTATAAAGGTGTTGCAAAACCTGTCACAACATCAAGCAAATGTTAGGGTCTTGTGTATAAAAGAAATTTTTCTTAGGTATTTCAACAAGTGATTTGGTAGCACTAATTTTGATCATTAAGATTCTGCAATTAATGGTACTGACAGATGGATATGGGTGAAAACCCCAACAGTTCTTTAAAACTAGCACTAATGAATAAAGACATTCACGTCCTTTTTTAGTACCATATTATAATGAAGGACTTTCAAAATGCAAGAATCCTATCATATTATTGGTGACTTAAGTTAAGGGAGTACTATAAATGATGATGCATAAATGAAAAGATTGCCAGGAAACAACTTTTGCAACCATCTAATTATCTAAACAAAACAATTAATCTTCAAACAAGCCTAAGTTAATTTTACTAAGAAACCCTGTGCATATCTATTGAACTATATGTCAGATTACCCCAGCTCAGTTCAATGTAGCACAGTCAATCAATAACCCAAAATTCTTTCCTTAAGCATTTGTTTAAAAAAATTATCGTACGAGTTTTGCGCGGTCTACAATGCTGTTGCCAACATTTTCCATCATACAAGTCAACCATGTCTACATTTTGGCCTAATTATATATGTAAACTTTGGAATTTATAGTGTGATAGGAAAATGTGATTGTAAATTTTGTTAATCAATCACTTTTCAGCTTGGCCATGGCAGGTCATGGACAAACCTCTCTGCCTTATGCTTATATTATATTTGATCTTGACAACAATGTGTTCTGTATCTCTCACTCTTTGTTCTTTTTTAAATTCTGAAACTACGAAAATAATGGGTGGAAAAGTTTTGTGCATTAACATGAAGTGCATTCTCTTTGATCTTTGGGATCTCAGTAAACTGTACCATTCCCTTTTGCTTCATTTTTTCACAATCACTATAAAATTTATATTGAGATATCAATTATCAATAATTATTAAATAAATTTGAATATTACTCATATTATTTCATGCTCAAATTAATTACACCATCATACTTTTATTTCAAAACATACTTTAACATTTTGACTAGGATTATACTCATGTTATTATCACACCATTTATGATCTCGTACCTCCCTTCTAATCCAAAAAAGGATCTCGATTTTTACAACCTTGGGAAATTTTTGATAAGTTCTTAGAGGAGCAGTTGTAAGAAACACTTCTTTCCTTTTCAGTTTTCACAGAGGCAAGAAAAGATCCCGGACCCTATTCAAACATCACCAATATGCCAAAGTGTTGATACGGATCTTCCCCAGCACCAGGCCGGGCAAAATAAAATAACTAGCCAAGCCACTACTCTGCTTTTTCACTTAGCATGTTAGAGTCTATCAAATCTTATATGCTTTCCCTCGCATCATTAAAACCTATGATTTACTAAATTTGATTGAACCACCATTAAGCATTTTAAGCAAAATTTTCTACTTTTTTTGTCACTAAATTTCCCTACTCCTATCAGGTACACAGCATGAAAATGGTATTTCTAATGTTAATTGGTCTTCCCATAAAACTACAAGAAGTATCCTTAAATTTATCTCATGTTGTTATTGTAGATTAATCCACATTAACAAGATGCAAGAATGCAAAAAACCACTAATCTAGCTAGCAAAAAGACATAACATAACATCTGTCCAATAACTAGTTACAATCCTATTCACTAACAATCAGAACTAAGCAAAAATGATACAAAAGTTAGAGTGCAGAAGCCAAAATGTGAAGGAAGAATGAATAAAGAGAATAATACCTTCTGAAAGACAACCCCAGTTGTTATTGTGCAAAGACAAGAGTGAAGTGAACAATGCAGAAGCAGTGGCACTATGCAATGGCGTCAATGATACTTGTGCACCAGCCAATTGCACCGGGAGCCTAAAAAGCAGCCATAATAATTGTTATTCAATTTTGACGCATTTACGAAAATTCAAATGAATAAATATGTTTTCAGTGTCATGAAGTTTACCAGGAGTTGGAGAATGAGCGTTTGTGAGGAGAAGCTTGGAAAGAAGAAGCAGAAGCGTTGAATTTATTGGGGTTTGAAGAAGAAGGTAAAGGAGATCGACGAGAAATTAGGGTTTTGGCAGAAGATGAAGCTATTTGGAGAGATTTCCGAACACAGTTCGACGACACCGCCATTTCGTGTTCTCAGTCGGTGTGGTACGAAGGAGTCGCCGAACAAGGGGTTTGTCATTTGGGCTGGGTCTAATCAAACGGGTCTTTCTATCCACAACAAAAATGAGCTTGTAATGTCTAAAAGAAAATTTTATAACATACCTCATCAATTATACCTTCACCTCTACAAACTATAAAATTCAAATTTTATCATTATTTTTTTTAGTATATAAAAGTGTTATGGCCAGTCATATGTGTTGCACCCCAAAATTTGACCAACAATTATTTACTCATTGAGTGTTTGAAAGTGGATACCTTCATCAGAAAGCTCAAGAGACCCTCAGAGGAATTGGTTGAAACCAGGGTTGTGTGTTTCATAGCTTGAGAGTTGTGGGTGCTCCTCAGATGATTCTGAGACTTTGAGAATGAACTTGATGTTTTGAGAAAGCCTATGAGATGTCTTGATAGCCACCATGAAGCCCAAAGAAGTCATTATGCAAGAATTCAGAAGATTCAACCATGAATGGTAGAATTAGGGTTTTGACTGGGTCAACCCTAGCTCAGCTGAAGATTTGGAGAAGGTTGAGACTTAATCCAAGGGCCATGAGATCATGGAATGATGTATAGAGATGTTATAAAGATGATTCCTAGACCAACTCATCATGATTGAAGAGTTTGAGAAGTTTGGAGTTAGGGTTTCTGAGGATTGTCAGTGGAAAAACCCTAATTTGATCCCTATTTTCCAGGCAGTTTTAGCTGTAGATGTGATTGAGATCTCATCTTCCCCATAACATGAATGTTGTAGAGCTTGTTCTAAGCTTTAATTTGAGTGGTGGAAGTCCTTGATAGGAGTTACAGAGCTCAAGTTATGGTTTTGACAAATTACAGGTCAGCAGAGGTGTGTGAATCTGGGTCCTTGAAAGTCACCCAACTTGCAGACAACTTTTGCCCTAGTAGGATGATTCCTATGATTTCTTGGTCAACATGAATGTTGAAGAGGATCTTCTTAGCTTTAATTTGAGTGGTAGAAGTCCTTGATTGGATTTGTGGAACTCAACTTATGGTTTGAACAAGACAGGGGTATTTTGGTCATTTGTCAGTTATAGGTCATTTTATCCAATGCCTAAAACTCCTATTTCCAAGCCTCAAATGGAAAAACTCAAAACATGAAAGTTGCTCAAAATGTGATTTTAAGTCTAGAAAGAAGGTCACAAATTGTTGGAAAAGCTCATAGCACAAGATTACATGATTGGTCAAAAATGAACTAAAAAAGGCTTATAACTTTGAAAAGTTGAAATTGAAAAGTGATTTGGGAGATCCACAAATCCAAAATAGGTCATCCAATATATCATTTTGATTGGAAAAACTATTTTGAGAACATTGGTTTAAATAGATTTTTCATTTGAGGCTTAAAAAATGAGGTTCCTTTGGAAATTTGTTGCTTGCAAAAGAAGGTAACATTGAAAAACCCTACACAAGTGAAACTAAAGGCTGATTTGCATTCCTTATCACTCAATAACTCATGTAAGGACATTTTGAAACCAAATTACAAGGCATGAAGCATGGGAGATGAGATAACCAATATGGCATATCATGGAATTTTCAAGAACTTTCCACACCCATCTAGATGAATCTAGAAGCATCCATCAATTGTTATTTAAAGAGGGCATCAGAGAATGATCAAAGGTTGGTGAAAACTTGAGCCAAGTCAGAGGAGAGAGAGAGATACATTGCCATTGGAGAGGTTTCTTCAAGTTGAAGCAACTTGAGTTTTCTTCCACTACAAGCCATCTCTTCCATCACAAGTGCAAACAGAAGGTTCTTCACCATTGTAGGATCATCTTGGACCAATTCCAAGGCCTGCAAGCATCCCCTCGAGCTTCACCATCATCCCTTTGACAGGTTTCTTCTTCACCTTGCATCTCTTAATTTAATGAGTTTCAATTAGTTTTATAGCCATAGAATTAATGTGTTAGGGTAGAGGATCAATCCCTGAAAGTTACAGCCTGTTCCATGAGGTTCCATGGCAGGACCAGAAATCTTTAAGCTTCAAGAACTATTTGTTTAGGGCATTTTAATCATCAAGAATTAGTGTATAATGACCAGGATAGCATGTGGAACAAGATTGTAGCTTTGGTTTTGAGTTTAATGAAGATGGATATCAGTTGAAAATTTTGAACCAAGATGTTGATGCCTTCTGTTTGGATTATTTAAGAGGAATTAAGAAAAAGTGTACGTAGGGTCGTGTAGAGCTTGAGTAATAGATCAATTTTCGTTTTGGAATCTTGTTGAACCGTGGCGTGTGGAGAGAGATAGGAGAGCTCGAATGTGAGCGCATGGAGGTGGGGGTTCTGAAAACCCTAGGTCCCATTTGGGACGATGAAGGAGCACCCTTGGATTCGCTCCAATATTTGACTAATTCATTAGATCGTATGGCTGTGATTAAACCTGAGAAAGAGAGGGAAACTCAGAAATAAACCCAAACGCTGCGTTTCATTAAACCAGCGCTGGGCCCAGAGTTCTATTCCCACCCCCCTTATTGCTGGCCCAATTCTTTTTAACTAGCGCGTGTTGCTGTGTACACCCCCCCTCCCTTTAATTCATTTAAATCTTTTATTTTTCTTTTAATGTTTTTTCTGTTTTGTTAAATTCATTAAAAATTGGAAATTAATTCTTTTTTAATGATTCTTTTTTCTAGGATTAGATTAAAATGTGTAGAAAATTATAAAAATAAAAATGAGATTTTATTTTTTAGTCTAATATTTTTAATAGATTTTCCAAATAAATAGCTTTTTAATAGTCTTAATTTGGTAGGTGATTTTGTAGGAATTATTTTAGAACCTTCCCTTAGGGTTTTTAATCCATTCTTTTTTGTGCAATTAGATGATGAATCATAGTTCCCCATAGGATTTTTTCTAGATTTTTAGAATTAAATTTTGATTAGTTTAATTAGGGTAGATTTAGGGTATCCTAATTAGGGTTTAAATTGTGTTTAGATGAAGAATCCCTTTCTTTGATTGAGTTTTATCTTGATTTTTAGGTAGAAACCTTTGTAGATGTTATGAGTAGGTGTTGAGGACCCTTGTGAATAATTGTTAGATTTTTCCCCATTAGTTTAGTATTTTTAGGTATTTTCTGAAGTTGCCTATTGATTTGGTGTACCCTGTGGTTATCTGTCCATCTTTGGGTGTCATTCTGAGGAATTTGTTGAGGGGCTTGTGTTGCCTTGAAGATCTTGGTGGAGAGCATGATGAAGAGAAGATTGTAGATCAAGATTCAGAGACCCAGAGCTTGTCTTGTTCCCTGTCTGTGAGGTTTGAGATCCTGAAGTTTGAAGGAAGTTCATGGTACTTTCCTGAGGAAGGCACTATGAATGACTTTCATCCTTCCTTCTCACCTCTTTCTTAAGTATCCAATGATGTTGGAGCCAACTTGTGAGTTTAATTTCTCCTGAGGAGGAATGTAAACTGATCACATGTTGTTGAGCCACATGGGATACAACTCCTAAGTGGAAGCCTCCTAGTACTTTCCTGAGGAAGGTCCTATGGGTCTATTCACTTAGTTCTATTAGTTTGTCTAGGATTTCTCAAGTATCCAATGATGTTGGAGCCAACTTGTGAGTTTAATTTCTCCTGAGGAGGAATGTAAACTGATCACAGTTGTTGAGCCACATAGGATACAACTCCTAAGTGGAAGCCTCCTAGTACTTTCCTGAGGAAGGTCCTATGAGTCTATTCACTTAGTTCCACTAGTTCAGATAGGATTTCCTAAATATCCAGTGATGTTGGAGCCTGCTTGTGAGTTTAATTTCTCCTGAGGAGGAATATAAACTGATCACAGTGGTTGAGCCACATAGGGTATGACTCCTGAGTATACACCTCTTAGTGCTTTCCTGAGGAAGACACTATGAGTCTGCTTGCTTAGCTCCCTTTCTTTGGTAAGCTTGTTCTGAAGCTTGAAGACTGGGATTGATTTCTTTTGGTTAGGTTTTTGCTTGAGGGCTATGTTTAGATTCAGATTCTGTGATTAAGGTTAGGATTAGAGAGTAGATGATTCTTTCTCAAGCATGTGTGTTGTTTGCCTGATGGTACTTCATTTCCTTTACCTGTTCATTGCTTGATAGCATGTTGTTTACCCTTCAGTATGATTACTGTTATTTCATGATTGGCTTGAGGTCGAGACGAGCTTGTGGAGGCTGAAGCCCCACACACATTTCCTCCCTCACTTGCATTGCATGCATTTTACTGTTAAACTGAGGTTTTGTCTGTTTCTGTGTATCATTGACATGATCCCTTAGGATTCTCATTTCTTCTGATGAGGATTTGATGATAGACTTTTAGGTTGAAACCTATGCATGACAACATCTAGGAGTTCCCTGTTCAAACCTCAACCATAGGATGAATCCATGGCATGATAGCAGTAGGACTTGGTAGTCTCCCTCCTAGTTGAGCCATTTTTCTTGTAGTTTCCCGAACTACGTTTGCTCTGATCTTTCATACCAGATGAAAGTACGTAGGCATAGGATGCGACGTCCTAGCGAGCAACCTTTCCCAGTAGTTAGCCGAACTACGTTGACTCTGATTTCTCGTTCCAGACGGGAATACGTAGGCATAAAGCGCGACGCTTTGCCGAGTCATTTTCTTTTCTTTTTCAGCCAGCCTTGATAGGTAGATAGATTATAACCAACCCGTCCAAGTAAACAAACAAGCGAGGATCCCGTCGAGTACGACGGACGTGAGGGGTGCTAATACCTTCCCTTTGCGTAACCGACTCCCGAACCCAGACAATGGTTGCGACGACTTTGTCTTACCCTTATTCGTCAGGTTTTTCCGATCGTTTCCTTTCCCGCTCTGAGGGATAAATAACGAAAGGTGGCGACTCTTCTGTCATGCCGGCACCTTATTTTCGCGCAAGCGACAGCTGGCGACTCTGCTGGGGACTTCATAGCATCTAGGGACTTTTCCCATCCCTTATGCTGGGACCGTTTCCCATCCCCTACGCGAGTCAATCCTATCGTTTGTGTG